CGCACGTCGCACACCCAAGCACAAATATACGCGCACGCACGCACACAAACACATACACAAACAAAATGTAACACGGTCTATGCTATACATATATATATATATTGTATATACATAGAGTGAGACAGAAGTATTGTAACTGTTGAATATCTTTCGGAAAATATATGTTTTACAGAAAAGTGTTTCAGACAAAAGTTGTAGGATTAGAAAGATCTTTTTACTGTTTGATCTTTTTATCAGTTTGATTTTATTAATTTGACCTTGGGTGGTCAAAGTCAGATCAAAATCTATTTTTTTTTAATGGAAACCCCATTTGCACATTCTTATAGCTTATCTCGAAAGCTTTCCAAAATACTTTAACAAAATATTTTTCCATTAACTACTTTTTGAGTTATATTTGAAAGTTACAGTACCGCCGGCATTCATATTATTTATAATGTCCAACTGGTTAGAAATATATATCTCTAAGAATCATAATCTTGATTATATGTCAAGATGTTTGAAAGTTGTTCCTTTTATTTTCATTTTTAATATAAAAATATAATAGTTAATATAAAAATAGTGTTATATTAATTTGAAAAATTCTCGAGATAAATTACAAAAACATGTAATGAGAAAAATGAGGGTTTCCATTTAAAAAAAATCAATGTGACCTTAATCTGACGCCATCCAAAGTCAAATTGATAAGTCCAATAAAAAGATCTTTTTACAACTTTTGTCTAAAGCACTTTTCTGTAAAACATATTTTCCGAGATAAGAATTCCAGTACTTTTATTTCATCCTGTATATAACATATTATACATTTTTATATAATTTTAATATCTAATTGTAACATATATATTACAACATATATGTCACAGGTATTAGGATTATATAAAGATAAAAAAATCAGTACAAGCAAAACTGTTTTGGAAAAATGTGATAATCCGATATCGACCTTGGTGATTTTCTGGCGTAAATTAAATGCAACAAGAACAAAAGTAATTATACTATAAGTATTTATTTATTTGATTTTTGTAATATGCATGTATGTGATTTTATATATCGCTATATTATAATAAATACTTTTTTTTTATCCTATTATATATTTTTTCTAATGCAAGGATTTTTCTTGTATTTCTTGATTAATGCTTTTCTACTTAAAAATTTAAGATATAATAGAAAATATTATAAAAAAAGATATAACAGAAAGAAAAATTTAATAAAATATTTTATCGGATATTTCTGCCTACAGATGATTTATCCATTACTTAATCTGGGCCAAGGAGACTCTCGTGTTCGTGGTAATTGTATTACTTGCACAGTGACGGGAAGAGTCTCGATGCACGAACCAAATTTGCAAAATGTGCCAAAAGATTTTAGTTTTGCAGACAATAATCTTGTTGTGAGTGTAAGGATGGCATTTGTACCAGCTCTAGGCAACATAATGCTATCCGCTGACTATTGTCAACTTGAATTACGCCTCTTGACTCATTTTTCACAAGATTCGGTATTATGCAAAATCATGAAACAGCCGGGTGACATTTTTAAAAATATTGCTGCTAAATGGAATAATGTAGCAGAAGAACAGGTATCCACTGATATAATAATAAATATATCACAAAAATCTATATACATTCATTCAGTATTGTACTATTTATGATTCAGCTACCTTTAAATACTGTACATATCATTTATTAATTATATTAATTACCCGAATATCTAGGTAACTAGTGAAATGCGTCAGCGTACCAAACAATTATGTTACGGTATGATTTATGGCATGGGGGTAAAATCATTGGCCGAAAATTTATGTGTAAGTGAACCTGAAGCTCAAGAATTTTTAGAGTCTTTTATGAGTGCATATCCTGGCATATATAAATGGTTAAACGATGTATTAGAAGAAGCACATCGTGATGGATATGTGACAACGTTACTTGGAAGACGCAGACAATTTCCGGATTTAAGTAGTACAAAATCATCTGTGAGAGGTGAATATTGATTATCATATATTGATATTGTTTGCATTTTATGATTTAATAAATTATATATCTGATAAATTGTAGCACAAGCAGAACGACAAAGTGTAAATACAAAAGTACAAGGTTCCGCCGCAGATATAGTTAAAAAAGCCATGATAAGTATAGAAGACAAGATAAGATGTTACTTTCCGGATTCGGCTATAATATTTCCAGAGGTGCATATCACTCGCAAACTACGAAGCAATTTACAACAAAGAGGTGGTTATTTAGTTTTACAATTACATGATGAATTATTATACGAAGTAAGTACTATCAATTTTTTATATATTTATTATAAATTAAAATTTTTTTAGTCTTGGTAACAATTTATAAGATATTACAAATACAAAAAAGATAATTTTTTTATATAAAAATGATGCGTTTTGCGGGATATTGAGTATCAGGCTGCTCCTCGTCCTGATGAAGTGAACTGCAAGGTTTACGAAATGTTGGCATTCCAAGAATGGATTTGGATATGGAAGAAATCCGCGAAATGCATAATCTTTATATAGAAAGGACTCGTGGAAGTCTCAAAAATATTATAGGTAATTTTTTAATGTTATTTCAGGTCAACTTAGCAGATTTAAAGAAAGTTGCTGTTATAATCAGAGAATCAATGGAAAATGTGTGCCAACTTACTGTGCCATTGCCAGTAAAAATCAGAGTTGGACCTGCATGGGGTGATTTAAACGATTATCAATTTTAACAGACATATCTAATCATAGCACGTTAATCATTTTTAAATCATTATTTTTATACACTTTTAAATAATTGATCATTATTAGACTATATATTTATAGATCATGCTAGCATTTACCAAATATTTATACATGTTTTTTATATTTGTAAAAATTGTAAGTACTTGATTCTTTATTTTAACTTATATTATTCGTACTATTTTCATCAGTAGAGATTTTCATCATAGAGATTTAGAATCAATGAAAATAGTTAAAATGAAACCTATTTTTCGATGAAGCATTAATTATTATATTTATAAATTCAAAAATTTTTCCGTATTTAAAAAAAAATTTTATGATATTGAAACTTAATTGAATCGCGTTAGTGTTTAAAAGTAAAATATTATTTCGTAAAAGAAAACTCATCAAGTACTACTCCAGTGAAAATATTTTATCTTTTTTCACATCTTTTATATTTTTCCAATTGTGAATATTCTTAATTATTATCTCAATCCATTTATTATACTCTATTTATCTTTTTATTATAAGAAAAAAATAATAATTAATATATAATAAGAAATTAATATATATAATAGATAATTAAATAGTTTTATATGATGGATTACAATATTTCTTGTTTGATAAATTTTTATATTTATATTTCTTACTTCGGAGCTCAAAAGAGAAAAAAAAGATTATAATTCACGTTTCTTCAATAAAAAAATTATTTAAATATATTTCTCTATGTACACATCTCTTCTTTTTAATTTTCTTTTATTTTTTTGAAAAAATATTTTGAATTTTTTTGAAAATTAAATCAACACTGTTAAAAAAATATGAGATTTAGTACTAGACTTCGTCTATTTAATAATACGTAATATGAAATATTACTAGTCTTCATCAATATATAGTTTTTAAATTATGTGATGATTATCATATTAATGATATGAAAATATAATTTATAACGAAATATAGTATTAAATTCGCACGTATGGAGATACAACATAAAAAAATTGTTTACAGAAAATAAATATATTATTAACAGTAAAAAAATGATATTTATTTTAATAAACATCTTTTGCGCTATATTACATCGCTAGGCGGTGCCAACGATTGATGCAATTTCGTAACCGCCGTTTGAACTATCTGCTGGAAAGTCTCGTCTTTGCTGGTCACATCCAAATTCAACAAGTCTATATGCGCCTTCTTACCATCTACTGTGACATAGAGTTTCTCGCCTTTGAATATCTTGGGCACGGAATCCTCGCCGAACATCTCCTGCAGCATCTCTATGAGGCACTCCTTAAAGTGCATCCTGTCCATTTTGGTGGGTGCGGGCAAAACCTTTGGTGACTGATCCATTATTTCGGCCTGCAGAATCGCAGTGAGAACGGAATCTGCATACATGTCATTCACTGGCGTCGCTATCCATTCCATTGTGATGATCTTGCCATCAATTGTGACGTCGACGTTCTTGAATATTCTCAGTTTTTTATCGTCTACGACCTCTAAGTGACCGGCTATCTGTGTCAGCAGATGCTTTAGTACAGGTAAAGATGCAGAAAAGTATACGCTCTGTCGTTGTATAACTTGGCTCATACTCATGTCCGTGTACTTGGACAGATCGCATGGAGCTAACATATGATAATTGAAGTTCCTTTTGACCAACACGCCGGATAACGTCTGTCCCGGTCTAGGAGTTTCCATCGCCAGCGTGCCCATCACTTTTGCAGTCTTCTCGCCCCTGAAATAGAGTTCCACTGCGACCGTGTTTCGCGGATTATGTATTTCCATGGTGGTGTTGGGATCGTCCTCGTATTCCCGTTGTAACGCTGCTTTCAACCTACCCATTTCATTCTGCTCACCATGCACCAGCACTACATGCGGCGGTTTTAAAGTGCGTATAAATTCCGACGTTTGCTGATAGTCGGTGTGAGCTGAGAACGAAATGTAATCAACAGACATCTTCAGTGGTAACTTTTGCCCTGACATAGTCGTAATCTCCTCTGGTTCCGATAGGATAGTCTTCGCTAGCGTGCCCTCCACACAATAGCCAGCTATAATCACCCCGTTTTTGGCATCTGTGCACCATGATTCGAACAACTCTCTGGATAAGCCACTCTGCATCATACCGGGTGAAGCCATCACCACGCATGGACCAATGTCCTCAAAGTGATCTATGCCCTTCAAATTAGAGATATGCTTGAATACGAAAGGGTTGTTGATAGCTATCTGCCGCCTGATCTTGTCGTTCATGGCATTCACATATGTCTGGTAAACAGCCATACACTTTTTCGCCAATGAGGAAGCATAATAGATTGGTATCTCATGTAATTCCGAATGCTGACTCCAATACTCATCCAAAATAAGAAGAAGCTCCTGTGCTCTTCCCAGAGCAAATACAGGTATCAAGCATCTGCCACCTCTGTTGACAATCTCATGCACAAGATTCGTGAATCTACCTTCTCGATCCTCTCTCTTCTCGTGAATGTGAGTGCCATAAGTGGACTCGGTGATGAGTACATCGGGATGAATATTCGGGATCTCAGCGGCCATCAAATGTCTGTCCTCCTGCCGGCTAAAATCTCCCGTGTATAGAATTTTTACGCCTGCAATCTCTATCATGAACATAGCAGCACCCAACACGTGACCCGCGTTGTAGGCCCAAAACTTGATTCCAAACATGTCTTTCTCCTCATGGAAGTTAATCGTCTCTATTTTGTCCATACTGGTTTCCAGATCGGATTCCGTGTATAACATCTGCTCAGTGGCTATATTGCTTACCTTGATGTAGTCTGATAATAACCAGCGATAAATTGCCTTGGTGGCGTGCGTCATAAAGCAGCGACCCTTGAAGCTCGTCTTTAAAAGAAACCAGGGTAGTGCTCCGCAATGATCCAAGTGAAAATGGGAGATCAGCAACAGGTCAATCTCATCAGCCTCGACAAGGTCGACGAACGGAAGGGCGTCCATTCCCGAAAGCCCGGGATGTATACCGCAGTCCAACATAATTTTCTTCCCTTTAAATTCTAACATAATACATGACCTGCCAACTTCCTGGCCTGCACCAAGAGGCCGAATCGAGAGCAAGTCGCTCTCCTCGGCTGGTACTTGCGTGTCGTTTTTTCTCTTCGTCGACATTTTGTCAAAATAGTTGATTCTCCTTAATGAATTATTCCCTTGCTATTTTTTTTTTATATCATATGCTGAACTTCTTCAAAAAAGCGTACGTTAAGTGGCAAGCATTTTGAGGTTATGTGACGCACAACAAACTCGTGAAACAGCCTGTTCTTTTTAATTGGATTTCTTGCCATAATTCAGCTTTCTTCCTTTTCTTTCCACGTTTGAAAAAAAAAGAGAAAAGATAAACCGACAAAACTTTAATTAATGGTCTGTTTCTGTTCCTGCACTAGACTGTCCTAAAACTCTCTTTCTCACTTTAAACAAATATCAAACTTAAAATATCTATCTCACTTTAAATTCTAAAAGTGTACATTAGTTCAGCCACAGAAAACAGACCTTAAAAAGAACAGACCTAATTCTATTATTTATAGCTGCACTTAAAATGAGATAATTATATATAATTAGATATTAAAGAGAGAGAAAGAGGGAAAATAAAATACAAGATTTGTTCTTCATATTCCTACTGTCTGAACTGTGCACACGGTATAATAAAGCGGGGAGCACAGACTCTTGCATAACGCATAAAACATGAAGCATAAGAAAATCAATCAATCAGAGTCCTTTATTTTATGGAAAGGGAGGAAATAAAGAATTTTAATTGGTTAATTTTCTTATGCTTCATGTTTTATACCTTATGCAAGAGTCTATGCTCCCCGCCTAAATTTAGGCGAAACAAAATAAAAAACAAATCTTAAGCTTCTGTCATATTGTATATATTCCCAAATAATATTTGTACGGCATAGTAAGGCCGGAATCAGACTATGCATTGAAGATTGAGATTAAAGATTAAAAATTAAAATTTCAATGAGGACAAAGAAGTTTTTGGCTTCTTTTGTCCTGATTGGTCAAACTTCAATTTTTCAATCTTCAATCTCATTCTTCAATGAGTATTTCGGCCTAAGAGGCTCCACACAATAAAAGGAACAGGAAATAGAAAACAAAGAATAAGATTTTCAATCTATCAGAAACTGTATATTCTATAACACATGATTTCTGATAGGCTGAAATTCTTATTCTCTATTCTCTGTTCCTTGTTCTTTTTATTGTGCGGAGCCTCTAACCATACGTTGCAGAGTCATGAAGCTCTGACGCGTCTACAATGGTATTAGTGGATGAGACTGTAAAGTTCTACAATGGGTAGTAGCAAGAATTAAAGAGTAGGCGTAGAAATCGACTAATTATAGTTGATTATTTTAATCTAATCTAATCATAGTTGATTATTCTTCTCACATTCGACTATGATTAGTTGATTTCTACGCCTATTCTTTAATCCGCTGCTGCTACTGCCCATGTAGAATGGGCTTAAGAGTTACACAAATTAACCAATACTCGACTGTGATTGGTCAATTTCTTACTCTTACAGCCTCATCTATTACTGATATTGCTATTGTAAATCATTCATGAAACATTCCATCGTGCGCGCATATTATGTGGAATTGACCACTTTGATCATGTGATCAAAGTGTTCAAATGTAATTTTTTTCTCTGTCCAAGATCTGGGACCGATTTTTTAGCATCGTGGACACCGTGGGTTTAATGCATGATCTACAATGGGCAATAACAGTAGTTGATTAAGGAGTAGGCATAGAAATCGACCAATTATAGTTAATTATTTTTCTCACATTCACTATAATTAGTTACTCTTCCCAGATCTCCCAGATCATCCCAGATCTCGGACAGAGAAAAAAATTAATAAATCACATTTGAACACTATGATCACATAATCATTGCGATTGGTCAATTCTTTCTTTATCCGATCGGATTCGTCTCGGATCGATTTTTAGTATCGTAGATACAAGGCTTTTACCGATTTCTAGCATCGTGGATAAACGCTATCGTTTTTACGCCATCTGGAGGTAGATAACTTCGCGCGGTTCTTTTTAAGTGGTTTCCCAAGTAGACCTAATTTATTAAAAAAAAAGGATAAAAATTTTTCGCTGAGAATTTCTAATTATACTGTACTTTTATTCCGTCCAATGTGGTTTTTTTAAACACGAGTAATTGAACTTCGTTGTGTCTTTCTAGTGTTGTGCACTGCTTGAAAGTTGGACATAGGCCAGTATTCATAGTTGGTTCTTATTTTAGGATCGCCTTAAATAATGTCTTAAGTCGCTAATACGCTTTCTGATTGATTTATGACATCTTAAGATTGTGCTTAAAACGGTACTTAAAACGGTATTTAAGACGTACTAAAATCTTAAATATAAGATGACTATGAATATCGGCTAATATTGAATATTTCTGCACGAAACTAGTCACGCCTAAAAGCAATTCTAAAGTTATAGCATAAATTTAATTTGTTTTAATGCTAACAATGCAATGGCATACGAGAGAAATCAACGAGAGAATGAAACGGGCACAAAAATTCGGACGGGTACAAAACCCAATATTAACCACCGTGTTTTTAAAATTATAGCACATAGTTTTGTTTTAATAATAACATTGACCTTGTTTCCGAGAGTTTAATCCGGATCAAAATGTAAGAATCAACCAACTACAGTTGAGCATTCTCTTGTCGTTCGAACAACAGGGGAACACTCAACAGGGGAATATTCAACTATAGTTGGTTAGTTTTTATATTTTGATCCGGATTAAACCTTCGGTGAAAACTAGGCCACTGTAATATAATTTGAAGCTGTAACAAAAACTGATGACATTGAATTGCACAATACCTGTACAATGTCTAAATTATAAAAATCAGCTGTGACATTTGCATGGTTATCTGGGTTTATCCATATAAAATTATGTATATAAATAAATAATAAATGTATACAAAATAAATATCTTAAAAATACTTTATATAACATGTAATTTTTTTAAAACGCTTTTAAAAATACCATATGATAACCAAAAAAAAAGAATTTTAATTCAAGATTTTAATTCAATCCCATTTAGAATCAATAGAAAAATAGTTTTCCTTTTAGATAAATTGTTGAGTATAATTCCCTTATTATTATATCACAAATAAATTAGCCAGAGAATATAGAATTTAGAAGTACGATTTTAAACACGTAATGATATTTCTAGAGTTTAAATTTTAGTGATTGATAGATGATTTAAAAAACAGAACAGCTGATTTTAATATTAATTAAAACGAAATTGTCAATATTTTTTTCAAAATTTTATATTTCTCCTAAATTTATTGCATATGGACATATATCATATAGTTAATAATATTATTACATTCAGATAGTTTTTGATATACTTAAAAAAATGTGTTTATCATAAGAAATTAATTAAAGATATTTGATATATACATAATTAAATTTCTCATTGATCTTAGTCAAAAAAATGATTAAAAAGTATTATATTTTTTTTCACAATTGATATCTTTTATTAATCATCATTTTTTATTTTAAATCACACATAATGCAGGAATAAATATCATAATAAATTATTTTTTGCTTAATTTTAGTAAATCGTATATATAACATAATTGTATATATAACATAAATTATAATTAGAAGCATTATTTTACAAATATTCCATTCTGAGAAAAATTTATTTAAAATTGTTTTCAATTAATTTTTGATGTTTTTACAAATAAATCTTTAAATGTATTTTCTTAAAATAAGTATTTTTCATTTATGTGATCTTTATTACTTCAGTTTGCAAATTATATTTAATGTTGCAAGCGCAGGGTATTGGTGTAAACCAAAAAAAAAAGAGAAAAAATGAACTTATTTAAAAACGTACCTCAATACATAAATTTTATTAAGGTATACATATGTTGATTTATTGTTTTTTTTCCTTTTTAATGATAATGTTATCCTATTTTTTAATCTGCTTATAGCATAGATCAAGTTTCGTATGATACTCAATTGCCAAATCAATTCATTGGCCCTATTATAAAATAGAACTGATGTACATATTTACATTATTTACAACAATGTTCGTTATGAATAGATATAATATGAATAGTTTAACTAAACAATTGCACATTTGGACGTCGATGTTGGTTGCAGGTGGGTTCCCAAATTATCCAGATACCCATCGCATATCAAATCATTTTTAAAACGAGAAAACTTAATGAAGACAATAGAGGAAATTAAACATGCAATCGCTGCTTATGTATGTATTAAAGATTTACACACGATATATTAAATTTAACTAATTTGACAGACGAACGATGGAGTCGATTATTGAGGTACCGATGCATTTCTTTTCCATACATAGACCATAACGAAAAACATTTTAACCCTTTGTACTTGAATATATTGCCTGCAATAGGAATACTATATATAAAGGTTGCAGTATTACAAAAAACACATCAGAATACACTGAGTGTGTAAAACGCGCGAATAATAGAACATATTTTAGAGATAGATTTTTTCTGAATCAACATAGACTTTCCTTCAATAAAAATCTTAAGAGAGTTTATTCTTCTAGATACAACATTAGATATGTTGATTATTATTCTTTAAATTTTAGAAAAAGAATGTTGTTAAACTAATTCAAATTGAATAATCATCAAGTGAGAAAAACTATAGTTTTTCTGAATTCTTTTATTTTTTATTGTATCAATTGTTAAAATCAATTGAATATTCCTTCTAAATAAATTCAATATATCAATGTCAAAGAATCTATCTCTAAAATATTCACGCCTAATCACGACATCAGTACGATATATTATTGCAAAGAATTAAATTTACTCCTCACAGATATTCTGACTTTCTGGTTTGTCCTTATCAAGTTATAGATTAGAGTTGTAAAACGTCACATTTACAAGTTACAAATCTTCTCATACAAAGTTATACACGCAATAACGAATTCGTTCTATCTCTTAATCGTGATGCACAATTCCGTTTCTGAGTAGAACCTTGTGACAAAAACTGAATCATATTTTTTATCAACCACATTTCACTTTC